AACATAGAAAGCTCTGTTACCAATCTTCCACTGTCCAGGTTTTGAGACAGAAGTCTCAGCTCTTACATCCCAGCAGATATGTCCTCTAACAGTTTTCTTTTCCACATTTGAGCATCACAGAAAAAATGTAAAGAATGCTTTATGACATGCTAGTTATGGTCTCTTAAATTCCATAAACTACACTATTTATAACAGGATATTCCAAAGAAACTTCACTAAAAATAAGAAGTGAAAAAACACACTTCTAATGAACGAAGAGCCTGAACTAAAAGTAAATTGATGTGGAAAATAAAAGTTCAGGTAAGTATCCAATGGGATAGTCAAAAGATAGCAATGACTTTAAAAAGCACATCACAAATTGGGGTACTGAGTGCCACATCCTCACATGCTAAGAACTTAAAGTGTCTTTTCCTTAGCTGGCAGTTGACAAAGGCAATGAAGAAACTGGAAACCAGATACATTCACCATGATCACCCTCAAATTAGCATGCAGCTAAACATTTCAGGAGGAAATTAAGAATTAAGGCTCAGCCCTGAGGCTGTTATGCAAGAAAAACACAGACATACTCCAACAGCAGCATTCTCAGCTTGGCAGATTTGCCCTGCTGAGGTTTGCACACAGAGTTGCTTTGACAGGGCAATCCCTGACTTACACTGAGGCATCTCTGTGCTCCAAAGTGCTGGAGGGCAGCCAGCAATTTAATGGCTTCACAGCCTAACAGTTCCTGAAATGGCAGATCCTTGATGTCTTGAACTACTACAGAGACATTAAACACCATTTTTCCCCACAGAACAGCATTGTCAGCACTGTCACTGACCCACTGACTTAGTCTCCAGCATTTGAGTCAGCTCATATTAATGTCTTGGCCAAAGTCACTTTTTTACTCCTTGAGTTCAGGGATAGTGAATAGGCAGCAACAGAACAACATTCACTTGTTTCTCTGTTCTTTGAACATTTTATCTTTTCTTCTGCTACTGTTACTTCTTCACTTTGAAATACTTCCCTTTTGTAGATTCTTGCTACTTAATCTCCTTGCATCATACACAGCTTCTTACAAACAGCAGTGGGGGATTTTATTCCATCCCCATTTGACAGTGTTCCTGTAACAGCGCTGCTGTAAAGGACACTGATACGGGACTTTTACAATGACTGCACTATTTAGATACAAACAGTAGTGTGTTGAAACCAAAAATCAGAGCATGACTTCAGCTATCTGGTGTTTCCTTGACCTCATTCTCTTCCCATCATTGAAGAAGTTAATTTCACTTTGAATGTCATGAAAGAACTAGTTTCTTTAACAAATAATTACGGAGGGAAAGTATGAAGCCTCAAAAATTAGATTGGGCAGGACAATTAGGTTGAAGTAATAGGACAAAAGGGAATGGTTTCAAACCAACAGAGGGCAGGTTTAGTTTAGATATTAGGAAGAAATTCTTTATAGTCAGGGTGGTGAGGCACTGAAATAGGTTGCCCAGAGAAGCTGTGGATGCTCCATCTCTGGAAGTGTCCAAAGTCAGGCTGGATGGAGCTTTGAGCAACCTGGTTAAACAGAAGATGTTCCTGCCCCATGGCAGGGGCATTGGAACTGGGTGATCTTTAAGGTCCCTTCCAACCCAAACAATTGTAGGATGATCTCTGCAGATTCTTGTGCAACATTTTGCACAAACTAATGATAAGGTTGACATTAGGTCTGGTTGCACTGGGTTTCATCCAGTCAAGTTTCAGAAGTCCCTTGGGAAGGAGATTCTTCCTCCCTTATGCCCCAGCCCTCAGCGCAGCTTCTTCTAGTCTCACTCTTGTTTGCCAGCAGTTCTCCAGTAAAAAGGTACCCAAATTTGGGACAATGTTCCAGATGTGAACTCAAGGGTTTTGATAATAATAGCAATAATCCCTTTCCTTTGCCTGTGAGCCATACTCCTGATGATGCAGGCCATTACACAGTTGCTTATCAGACAATCACACAACATCTTGGGTTGGGAGGGACCTTAAATTATCATCTCATTTGAATCCTCCTGCCATGGGCAGGGGCATCTTCCACTAGACTGAGACACCCAAAGGCCCACCCAATTTGGCCTTGAACACTTCCAGGGATGGGGCATCCACAGCTTCCCTGAGCAAGCTGTACCAGTGCCTCACCACCTTCACAGTAAAATTCTCCCTAATATCTAATCTGCCCTCTCTCAGTTGAAGCAATTTACCCCGTTCTATCACTCCATGCCTTTGTCAGAAGTCCTCTCCATCTCTCTTGGAGCCCCTTCAGATACTGAAAGTCCACAATAACGTGGCCCCAGAGCCTCTTCTTCTCAAGGCCAAACAGCCCCAACTCTCTCAGCCTTTTCTCATATGAGAAGTGCTCCTCTAATAATCTTTGTGGCCCTCTTCTGGACCCAATCCTAAGAGCTCCATATCTTTCCTGTGCTTAGGACCCCAGAGCTGGATAAGCACTCCAGGTAGAACACAGGGGTTGAATCTCCCCCCTCATATGCTGCCTACACCGCTTTGGATGCAGCCCAGGACATGTTTGGCTTTCTGGGCTGCAAGTGCACATGGCCAGGCCATGTCCAACCTCCCATCCTCCACCACTCCCAAGTCTTTCTTGTCAGGGCTCCTTGCATCACCCAGTCTGTACCAATAGTAGGGACTGCCCTGACTCAGGGGCAGCACCTTGCACTTGGCTTTGTTGATTCACTTCTAAGCCTTTTCCAGGTGCTTTTCGCTGCAACAAGCATGCACTGCTGACTGATGCTCAATCTGATCACACCTCATTCTTTTCAGATACCTTGACAGCCAGGGATGCATTAGAGAAGCAGGAAAAATTGTTTTGGTGGTTGTGTCTGCATCAGCAGGGCCAGAAGCACAAGGCAGCTCTGTACCACTGACAGTGGTGGGCAGATGCAGAATCCACCAACAGAACCTGTCAAAGATCTGAGACAGGTCATGGAAAGCTTGCACATGCTGCCAAACCAAAATCCAGCTTTATAGCTGTAGATAATTTAGGGAAAAGAAGCATCCCTTCTGTTCATGTCATTCTTACAAAATACACACTTCCAGTACTAAGAAAGAAATCTCTAGCTGAAAATAGCAGCCTTTGATCTTTTCAAATTGAAATCTCAGAGTGACAATTTTCTTGGCAATAAGGATAAGCAATAGATGACAGCAGTTTCAGCAGCTTCGGTGGAAAACTTTTTTTTTTCCTGGCATCCCTGTCAACAACAGATCAATCATACAAAATTTTTCTTACTTTGAGGGTGGGTTACATCATAGTCCCATTGACTTAATTCACTTTATCACTCTATGTTTCAGTACAGTTAAGAATGCACCAACACACTGAGAAGACCACAATTTGAAGCACTATCAGAATTTTGCCCACTGTTTAATTTGTAGATATGATTACAGATCCACTACTTTCATTTAGGAATGTTATCTTTGCTAAGTAAAGTCTTTTCTTTCCACAATCACTGAAATTAGCCATATAAACATACTACCCTCTCCTCATGTAGATAGTACTGCAGAAGGAAAAGGAAGTGGAGTAAATCTGTAAGCTTTCCCTAAGACAGTGACTGAAATCCCAGTAATGCAACAGTTTGCAGGGACTTTACTGAAGTTCATGCTGACAAAAGAAGGGACTACTTTCTTTTCTGATCCCTTTTTGTATCTTGAGCAAAGAAACTCAGAAATTCAGAACCTGCAGTATGATCAGAATATCAGAGTGGCTTCTGCTTTCTGTATTTGTTGTTCCACAGGTTTTTTTCCAGAAAGCAATGAGAACTAAGCAAACTGGAATGAATAAGAAATTCCTTTTCCTTTGGGTTCACTTCTCACACTTCTGATAAAATACCATGTCAACACTGATTTCAAAAGTCTGGTGCTGACATTTAGGAACTATTTTCCCATTCTGAAGGTACACATGAATGAGATCCTGGAATGCGAACCTCTGCTTGGCAGTTATCACTTAAGAAGCTGACATCAGCAGAAGCTGTCTCCTGAGAGAGTGAACAAGCAACAAGCCCAACAAAGACTTCTTTATCTAATGCTATTAGAGCGAAATCAAATTCAAGTTCAGGCAGAGCAATTGAGATCCCTGGGAGCTATCTGGCCTTTTTTGCTGGCACCACTGCTCTTCCCACTGCGGGGCAGCTCGTAGGTATGGAACAAACCTGTCGGACACTTGAACCAAGCAGAACCAGGAGGAGAGGGCCGTCATTGTGAGCCCACATGGGAAAACTATAAACAAATTGTAAAATATATATTCAAAGCAGTACCCGACCCACCAGCTCCTGCTGTATGCAAGTGGTTCAGATTACGCCAAACACAGAGCACTTGATCTGACGGGGATTTAGATCTCTTGTTTTCCTGAGGATACGAGTTATCAGCCTTTATTCTTTTGCTTTTCTCTCCAGCGGAAGCCAGGTCGTGCAGTAACACCTGGTAAAGAACGCATCGTAAAGCGTTTTGCTGTCCCTGCTTATATAAACCTACGGTGAGTTCGCCATCTAAACTCAGACCTTCGGAAAAGTGCAGCTACCTCACACCGCTACCAGTTCTCCCTCTTTTGCTGACGTTCGCCTGTCAAAGCAACTTTCTGTTGGGATATTTCAGCTCCACGCGCTGACAAACCCAGCCCCACGCACTGGCACCGCCCGCCCGCGCCCCGCTCACCTGGAGCAGCGCCCGCACCCGCTCTGTGGACGCGCCGACCAGCAGACAGATCTCCAGCAGGCCCGAGGGCAGCACGTCCTCCATGGCACAGCCGGGACAGGGCGGCTCCTTCCCTGCGGGCAGCGGCTCCTTCCCTCGGGACGGCGGCGCCTTCCCGCCCTCAGCGCCGCCCGCGCCCGCCCCGCGGCGTGGGGAGGAGCGCCCGTGCCGCGCGCCGGAACCCTCCCGTCCGTCACCGCTCCGCGCGTTTTGATTGGTTCTTTCCCCTGTCACTCTAAGGTCTCTGACCAATTATAATGGTAATGCGTGCGGTGGGCGGGGCTTTGGGGTGAGCGCTGAGGGTACAAAGGGCTGGGAGCTGAGCTCTGCTCTGAGGTGCGAGGGTTGTGGGATGAAAGAGGGGGGCTGGGAGGAGTTGTTGAGGGGCTGGGAGGAGTGAGTTGTTGAGGGGCTGGGAGGAGTGAGTTGTTGAGGGGCTGGGAGGAGNGTTGAGGGGCTGGGAGGAGTGAGTTGTTGAGGGGCTGGGAGGAGTGAGTTGTTGAGGGGCTGGGAGGAGTGAGTTGTTGAGGGGCTGGGAGGAGTTGTTGAGGGGCTGGGAGTTGTTGAGGGGCTGGGCGTTGAGGGTGGGAAGGATGAAGTGCTGGAGGCTGAGGGGCTCAGGCCTGAAGGGCTCAGGCTTGAAGGACAGCTGAGGGCTTAGGGTGCAGGGCTGAGGAGCTGGGATACCACTGGCCCCCTTAAAAACTAGTGATGGGGTTTGTGATTTACAATCACGAGATTTCCACGTTGACGTAACCAAGGACTATAATATTTGCTAGTTTTAAGCAACACGGTGAGGACCTAACTCAAACAAGAGAAGTCCCCAGTTGTTGCTCCATCCCTTGAAAGTGTTCAAGAGCAGGCTGGATGGGTTCTGAGCAGCATGGAAGCTACTCAGACTTGCAACTGGATGATCTTTAAGTTCTCTTCCAACCCAAACCACTCTGTGATTCTTTCCTCACCTCGTTGCACTGTCTCACCAGGGCAGCCCCTGGGAAAGACTTCCCGACTCAAGGTCGAGTTAATTTTTCGCCATGGGCTGTTTTCCTCGTGGGGCTGCTGGCCAACAGGGGCTGAGGTGGCTCAGGCTGCCTGTCACCCTGTCAGGCTGGCTGATGTCATGGTCTGGCGCCTTGTGAAGCACAGCCCTTCCCTGCTGTTCGCTGCAGGTGACTCAGGACTGTGTCACTTCATCAGGGCTCTGTCACTGCCACTACACGGGAGTTTTCTCTTTACCTTACCACGGGTCACAGTTTCGATGGGCTGTAAGCACAGAGCTGGTGCCAGCTGAGCCATGTTTCCCCTCTGGAGCAGCAGAGGCACAGCACAGGGAACTCCGAGGTTTCTTCTTGAGCTACTTAATCTAAATACACCGTGAGTCACTCCGTATGTATTGGCTCTGTGCGGATTGGCACTGAGAGAATGTAATTCCTCTGGGACCGGAGCATAAAGCACCCGAAACTAGAGATTGGTTTCTCTGAAACTGGAGGTATGAGATAAAGTTTCATCACAACCACAAACGTTTTTTTGTGGACTAGTGTTCCGGTATTTTAAATGCAAAAATATCCCCTGTCTAAATGGTTCCAGGATTTCATGAACTTCTTGTCAGTTCAGGGGTCAAATCAGGTTCCCTCAAAAAGTATAAAGAAAAAAGTATAAAGTAAAAAGTATAGAGATTTTACTATTTCATGGGGGTTTTATTATCTGAATTTTTGTGGTGTTAAAGCTCAGGATTATACAGCCTCTGGTTGTCTCAAATTTTGAGGAAGATACAGAATATAGGAAACTGTTCATATAGCAGCAACTAAAAGAAGAAAATTCTTGAAAACCTGGAAGTTTCACGGATTACTTCTCCAAAGTGGTAAAAGAAGATCCAAGGCTCAAAGATTTATATTCATGAACTTTGAAGTCATAGGGGGTTGTTAAAACAATCTTGTTTAGCCTGTGTAGCCCAGGTCACAGAATCAGAGTGAGTCCTGTATTAATGCTGTAACTTCTGCTTGAGGCCATGCCATGTTAACAGTTGCTGTTAAATGTTGGGCATCTCATTTTCAGTTTCACTTTTTAGCTTAGCTCTTTGTCAATGGATCATGTTGCATTGGCTGTTGCTTGAACAGACTTTTTACTATTAGAAGATTTCTCTCTGCAGAGTTCAAGATTATTAATCTCTATTTCTAAAAGATTATACAACTCATATTTTTAAAACTCCTTTCCTGATGACTTTTGTGCTTCTTTTCTCAAAACTTTCAAAACTTTCTGGTATTAGTTTTGAATTAGGAACACCAAAACCAAAGTTATATTATTGCTGAATGCTCAGTGCTAAATCACATTGCTGTTTCTGACTGATATCCCCACCTAATTAAAACAGAGACAGACAGATACATGAATCATTCAGAAAGGGTGCAGTGTTTAATTAGTTATCCACTGCAACACAATTTTCTTAGGGTTATTATTACTTCCAACATGACAATCCTACATCTTACATTGCTTGACCTATGACTATGACCAAGCATTTGACCATATTATAAGAAAATTACAAATGAACCAAGGCTATTAAGCAATTCAGGTCACCCATAGTTAATTAATCTGTATCATGATCATCTTCTGATTCCTCTGCTATCTGCAATGATAAATACTGGATGATTCTTGTTCATAATTAATGTAGCACCCAAAGCAAAGCTATGGTGAAGTTATTATCAAAACAGAACTCCAAGATGAAAGGTACTAATGTTAATCTGGTAAAATCTCAAGAAGCCTGGAAGCAGGAAACCTGCTTATATGAGGTCACTGGTAAGAGACAGAATCATTCACGTAGAGAAAAACTCCTCTCTCCTAAAAGAAATTAATGTAGTTGAGTAACTTTCTTCCTAAAAAATATTGTCAACTGAGGAAGAAATGCCAGCTTTTAATATGTGTTTTCTCTTTGCAAGATCACAAATACAGTAAATTTTTGTTTGTTAACTCTCTGAGGTGGTAGTGGCTGCTGAATGCAGAAAAAACTGCAGTTCTTGATATGTCTTCAGCATGGAAAAGGCTTTATCAGACCTACAGGGCCACGTCTGAATAATTAAAGAGTCTCTTGGCATAGAATCTGATTTACCTTCCAAATACAGTTTTTCTGTTTTAGCCAGACTGTTTAGGGGAAGAAAATAGTTTCACCAGTTGTGTTTCTTTGATGTGGTCTTGCTTATAAAACAACTGAGTGACTTGTTGAATTGTAGACACCTCCACTGCAAATACCTCAGTCCTGAAGGCTGTGGGCCAGATGAAGAGTCTGGACTCTGAATTTCAGGAGAGCAAATTTTCAGCTCTGTAAAGAATTAGTGAATGGCACCCCCTGGGAACTGCTCTCAAGGAACTGAAAAGCGCTGGCAGCTCTCTGAGGACAAAATTATTTGAGTGCAAGAGCGTTTAATTCCCATGTGTAAGAAAAGAAGCAAGGAAGGCAGGAGAATGGCATGGGTCAGTCAGGAGCTCCTGGTCCACCTGAAGTGTAAGAAGGAAATGCACAAGCAGTAGAACAAGAGACAGGTATCCTGGGAAGAATACAGGGACACTGCCCAGATGTGTAGAGATGGAATTAGGAAAGCCAAAGACACAGCTGAAGTTGAGTTTGTCAAGGCATTTTACAGGCATGTTGGTCAAAACTGGAAGATTAAAGAAAGAGTCCACTCCCCATCCCCTGACACACACAGATAAATAAGACAAGAGAACTGCAGAAAAACAACATGGAGAAGTCTGATTTTCACTCACGCTTGTGCCCCTTTCCAAACAGTGATGAAAACTACACGTTGACTAACTGAGGGATTATGCATCCTGCGGAGTTTCACCATGATGGGTGTAAGGTCTGCAGGAATTTTCATTTTGAAACTGAATATAGACATCACTCATGTTCTGAAGGTTTATTGATAGTTAAATCCTTTTCTTGGGCTTATGATCAAGCTTGTGGCACAGCAGTATCTGTAGGTGAGAATTGAAACTTGGACCACTGCTGCCTTCCACTGCCTGGCTCACAGGAAGATACATTGTCCAGAGAGGTGATGGGTGTCCCATCCAGGGAAACATTCAGGTCAGGCTGGACAGGGCTCTGAGCAACCTGATCTGCTTGAAAATGTCCCTGATCATTGCAGGGGGATGGGATTGGTGACCTTTAAAGGTCTCTTCCAATACAGACTATTCCATGATTCTGATTTCTGTGTCTATGCTAAGCATGACTGCATAAATAAGAAATCTTCATTCTGTCCAGCAAGAACTGTGTGTTCTAGCCAGAGAAGACAGGACACGCAGCTTGACCTGTGCTGCTCTAATACATATCAGACAACCCTTTGCAGTCTGGAAGTCCATTTAAAAACACCACCTCTCAGGATTTTAAACTCCTTATCTCTAAATACAGTTCTTAGTTCTTATCATCATGGTCATTCACAGGGCAAGGGATTTATTTTTAACAAAACTCAGGAGTCAGGTTGACATATTCTCTCCAATGTTAGCATTTCTCATTTTATATTCCTGCTTCCAGAATAATGAATCAGGAGACTTCTGGGAATCTGCAGTGAAAGATCTTTACTGACAGACCTAATATTTCTTTCATTCAGGACAGTTCACTTTCTAAATTTACACTGAAATTAGCAACCAAGCAACTACTGACTATGCAAATCAAATCAGGATTTTCAAATTAGGGCTCTGCACAGACTTAAAATTCCTCTCTCAGTGCCTCAGAGACTTATTGCCATTCTTAATAATGCTACAAAAACCTACTATGAGAATTCTTTATTGTTGCAGGTGTTGTCTAACTGGGTGCAATGACTTTGGCCTGAAAATTATTCTCTAAGAGGTCACCAGGTTGAGCATAGACATGTCAGAGGGGAAGGAGGACACCTATTAACCTATTAACAGTTTTATTTGCATCTTCTTTCTTTTTTACTTGGCTTGTCTGGTTTGTGCTGTCACCATTTATGGTACTACTGGATACAAATTTTCTGCAACATTGACTGTTATTTGTCATGCATCTCTTTAAGAATACACGGTTGTGTTTCAATGGCATTACAGAAAAATGCCAACATGGAGCAGGTTTTACTATGTGTCAACAAGCTGAGAACACATGATTTGTGTTCTCAGCTTGAACCTGCCCATGTGCTGGAGAAGTCACCTACTGCCTCCTATTTCCTCAGCTCTTCATCTATGGAACTGTGCCCCCTGTTCTACCTTTTGTAGGGAAATATGCCCCTTAAAGCTCAGATCCCTGTGATTTATGCACATGTGCTGAGGGATTTTGTTGTGTTTCTCGTCACCTCTGAGAAAGGCAGAGTATGTACTAAAATCAGACTGCAGAGGCCTGGAGCTGTGCTGTCTCCATCCTCAGAGGTTTTCAAGAAGCCACCGAAGAAAACTCTGAGCAAACTGGGCTGATTTGACAGCTGACCCTGCTTTGTGCAGGAGTTGGACTACAGATCTCCTGATGTTTTCTCTTAGACATGGATGATTCTGCCACTCTCAGGGACTCTGTATACTAACACAGCAGGAGGGTTAAACATTTGTATATGAGGGAAACAAGATGTTAGAATTATAGCAAGCAAAACAGAAAATCCTCAGCCAGTTGTACAGTCAATGACCTTTCAAATGGACACAATTTTTCTGTGATGAGATAACTGAGTCCCAAGGAAATAGCTTTGGGTGTCAATGCAGCATTTATTTCTCATCACCTCTATATTTCTGATAAGGAGGCTGGCTGTAGTTTTATTTTTTAAAGAAAAAAAAATGGTGAAAGTCCTAAGAGGGTAAAAAAGGAGATTAGCTTTATCAACGCCCCCACATCTAGAGAGATGTAGCAACACAGAGCTGTCAGGCCTTGGCAAAGAACCAGATTAATGTGAGTGCTCTGAATATTAGAAACACTTTGCATTGTAGATACTGTGAGATCATCCCGAGGCTACAGAAGAGCTTATTCCTGAATCTCATCACTCCAGGGGCAGTTTTAGCTGTGTTTTATTTATGTGGGATGCATAAACGTGTTCCTCAAATCTGACTGGATTAATATGACATTTATTATACTTCCAGTTCTTTACCATCTGGCACAATCTCGGGCAGCCAAGGAGATTTTGCAGCTGCTTTTTATAGTAGCATTAAGATTTCATAGCATTTATTCTTTTACAGCATTGCTGTAAGAGAAATGCAGACTGAGAATTCCTGAAGTGGTGTGACAAGAAAGACAAGAGGTCAATTAGTGCACAGATTGTCAATCAGATACAGAAAATAAAATTTCAGACCAGGTTTTGTGTAATAGCTTATTGTATACATCACTGTAAGAAACCTTAAAATACATCTGCACAGATATCATCATTCATAACTATGAACTGCTTTTTGCTTTTTAAAATTTAATAAAGTATACTTGCTTTTTCTCCCTGGAATCTGGAGAATCTCTTGAGATACTCCACTGTGTTCAGAGAAGACCTTTCAGCAGTTTCACAGTTCAACAAAAGTATAATATATTAAACTTCACCATTAATTAATTTTAGCTTAGTTCAATGCATATTAAAAGCCACTTTCCTTCTTGATATTTTGTAGCAGCCCTTACATCACTCTTGTTATGAGAAAACAGCATATATAAACAAAATGATCTTTGTTATATAAGAAACTATCTTCCCTAAGCTAGTGGACCCTTTATGTATGAAAAGGTTTTTCATTTTTAAATATTCACATAACAAGGCTGTTGAAGAAAATTAATCCAAGCTTGGATCCAACCAGAATAGCCATCTTATTTTTCATGTAAAATAACCAGCTTCCAAGTGACCTCTGCTTACCTCCAGATAAAAAATGCTTTAATAACCACAGAAAGGCAGTGCAGACTAAGTATCCTTTAGAGCAGCCTAATACAGAGAATTCACAGTTATTAGCCAGAGTGGCTGTGGGTAGTGTGAGACCACCCTAACTTGTCAGCATTCCATGCTGCCACTCCTCATTCCTACGTTGTGGAGCAAAGCCTCATGGAAATCTTTTGTAAGCACAGAAGGGACAGAACACTCTCACATCATTGTATCCGAAGCTAGGAAGATGTGGACTAAACAGATGGACCACAAGGTGGTTGAAAACTGGCTGGACCATCAGTTTGAAGGGTTGGGGTGAACAGCCTGAAATCTGACCTGAGTGAATGGCATTCCTCAGTGTTTGATACAGGGCTAAAAGTACTTGGCATCCTCCCCAAGGGTGTGGACCATGGGGTAAAAGATGTCCTCAGCAAGCTGTGGATGCCACCATGGGTGAAGGCTGAAGGGCGGAGCAGCTGTACAGAGACACTAAGGAAAATCCAAGTGCCATTCTCCTGAATAGGGGTCATAAAGAAGAGCAACACAAACTCAGAGGCACACAGTGGGAGCACAAGAGACAACAGCTGAATGTTGCAGCAAGGGAATTTTGATTGAATACAAGGAAAACCGTTTTTACCATGAGAACAATTAAGCACTTCAGCAGCTTCTCCAAGGAGCCAGTGTGCCCTCCTTCCTTAGAGATTTTGGAAAGTTGGCTGGATGAGGAGCAGAGCAACTGGATCTAACTTTGAAGTTGTTGCTGCTTTGAGCAAAGAGTTGGACTAGAGACCTCCAAAGGTCCCTTCTAAACGACATTTGTCTTTGATTTGGTAATTAAGACCATATTGCTTTATTTTCACACAAGGTTCCTTAGAGATTTAACAGTGCAGCAGACAGAAAACAAAGTTCAACTATTTGCATGGCTAAACATGTCTAATTTTAGGTGTACTGGTATAGCACTATAAGGGGAGTGTATTTAAATATTACCTGACATATCAAATATAGTAATTAAACACATGGTGCTGTGTCATGTATGACTGAAACTGGGCAGAACATAACCTCATAAATAATTAACTCCTAGTTAATCATGTGTCAACTCCTACAGTGAGAACAAGGAGGATTCTACACAACTGGCTTTATAGAGAAAAGGGCATTTGTACAAACACTATCCATAGTCAATGCTTGTTTTCCATGTTGCACTTCTAATGTTAAAAAAAAAAACCAACAATAAATTTTGGGTTGAGAACCTTAACTTACAATGTGTCCTCTGTGACTTTTGTTTATTCCTCCGTAATGGCTATTTCAGTTTTCTGTAAGGACATCCGTTAGTTGAAGAGTAGAGAGAATATCTCACCTACCCATGTGAATTATTAATCAAAAATATTTAAAATATTTTTAAAAATTATTTAGAGCAATTTAGGCTTCCTTTTCTGGCACAGTTGAATCTAGTGTTGTTTTCCTTGTTTCAATTTATTGTTCTTTGGTGGTTGGAATATTTTTCAGAGTTGATTCACCTGTAATCTATAAGAGAAACCCACCAAAATATAGCATTTTACATGAGGAAGTAACATAAACTGACATAAACAGAAATGACTGAAAATTTTAAAAGTGTGTTCATATTCCACAAAGATTACCCTAATGTCCAATTTTCAAGTGTCAGAAAGATCAAACCATTAATGACATCTGGCCTTCCTATTGCAGGATGATTCTCCTGAAGGGTGGCTCTTAGTTTTCTGTGTTTGCAGAGCACACAAAGCACCAGGAGCCCAACTTGTTTACCTGCCAAGTTATAATATGTTACAGGAGTGTTCATGGTGACTGTGCAAAAAAAAAGAGTTCTTTTATTTTATTAAGAGTTGTTGTGAGGGCAAAGACAGTTACTGGAGTGGAAAAGGAGTTTGTCATATGATTTGGAAAAGCTTCCTCCTAAGAGAAGCAGTGGCTCAGAAAAGACTGTTCATAGTTCCTGTATTATTGTCACCAATGCTGTTCACCTACTGAGAGTAAAAGTGATGTAATATAAAAACATATAGAAGAGAGTTTGTATTAAGTAATTTTGTATGAAAAACTAAAACCTTAGTTGGTATAGCCCAAGTTAGAGGTAGAAATAAATTTATTAGTACTTTTACAGAGAATGGTAATTACTTTTATGTCCTGTCTAAAAACACTGATTGTTTAGATTTTTCACATTGTGCAGACTGAAGGCATAAACAGCGTTTTCTTATTCATTCTGTTCCCAACTATATATTTTGTATTGGCAAGTTCACTTGCTGCATCTTTCCTAAAATTAAGCGTTCAGCTCTCTCTCTCTTTTTTTTTTTTTNCTCTCTCTTTTTTTTTTTTGTTTTTTTTTATTCCTCAGAATCAATCCTACACAACTCATTATCCCATTGCAACCTGAGACTGGAAATGCCTGAGGGCGGGAGGCGTTTCTCCGAGTGGAGCTCTGTCATCCTGCAGAGCAGGGCACGGGTCCAAGGCTGCGGAAACAGCACAACAATAACCAACTGCCTTCTGGTATCTCTGTTAATGTCCTCCATTGTTTTAAAGGAAAGCTGGTTTACGTCTTTCAGCAGATTGCCCCGTTTGCCCCCTTCACGGAACATGGCTGGAAGGGACATTAATATAAATTGTGAACTACATCATTCTGCATTGTCCCTGTTGCACCAAAGGAGAGGTGATTTTTAGAGCATGTTAGGAATGTGCAGTTTGGCATAGCCGTGTGAGGCATTCCCTTTCAGATCTTTCTTCAGGCACTGCAAGTTGCTCATAGGGTCAAAAAGCCAATCATACACTGATAGAATCCATGTGTCTTTGATGACCAGAGTACATGCTGCTCATAAAAGCTGGTTCAACAAAATTTCTGGTGCCTTTCCTGTCTTTCCGTGGCTATAATTACAAAAAAGCAGCGTTGTTTAATTGAGAAAGCACATTAGTGGTGTTCATAAATTAATCTACAAGCAGATTTTCCTGAAAAGTCACTTCTTTAATTCATATTTCTCTGGGTTTTCTCCCACATTTAACAAGATTTTTCATGGAAGATTTTTAGAGATTTGCTGCCAATGTATTGCATCAGTAGAGAGCTGACTGAATTTAACAAGATACGATCACCTCTTCATAATAACATGCACGATTACCCCTGCAAATCATGCAATTATGATAAAGATTTCAAAGGAAATAAGGTAATTTATTTATGCACTGTCCTGAAACATTCAGTTTCTTGTGGAGCAAAACCTGAATCTCAATATGGAAGTCTTTAGAGTAACTGTAACAAGACCAGTCAGCTAACCAGGAAGGAATCAAAGACTTCATTATTAAAGCAGTACCAAGAAAAGTGCTACAAGGCACTGTGCTGCAGTATAGAGTTACAATATGCTATAAAGGCTGCATTTATTTCAATATTAACATCTTTTAAAAGCAGCAAATTTTGTTTGTGAGACTGCAACCCTCGAGTTTCCAAGTGATCTGGACCTTTCTAATTTTTGTCAAATGACAACAGCCAAGCCTTCTGTTTTTCAGCACAGCCAAAAAGCAAGCCTTAAACATAAACAGCATTAAAGCTTTGGCACTGAGTGGAATTTGTAATTCAGTACTAAGCCAACTATGGAATTTATTTTTCCTAGCACCTAAATACCCCATGGGTTTATAACACCACTGATGCTCAGTGCCCCACAGCCCCATGGCACAGAAGAGCTTATAGAACCCACAGCCAAGCAACATGGGCTTGTTTTGTCTTTATTCCCTGAGTACAGATGGCATTCAGTTCTGCTTAGTTAAAATAAATATCAGAATTTAAATATAACAGCCACATCCTCCAGAAAATTGATTGCATAAATATGCAAAGTCTGTGGCCTTGCTTTCATATTAATTTTAACTACATCTCACTTACATCATCAGACAAGGTTTTCTCCTTATTATCTTTCACTATCTGTCTCATTTCAGACAGCAAAGCCAACTCCAACACATTCCCACTCTATGACAACAACATCCATGGCTATCTCTCTAGTCAATAGCAGAGCTCTGACATGGTGTGCTTACCTCTCCAGCTGCCACCAAGGAAAAGGAGAAGGTGAATGAGATGAAGATTCAAAGGTTAGCAGTGCATAAGCAACAGATGCTGACTTCTGCTTTCCCATTCTGTTCAAGACAGAAAGAGCATGCCCAGCTCTTCACAGCCATCCCATGAGATTTCTAGCTCAGGTCATCTTATTCATCCTGTTACCTGTGCCAGGGAGTGCTTAGTCTCAGCCAGTCATCCCTTCTCTCTCCCTAGGATGACAGGGGTCAGATTGCTGTGATCAAAGTAACCCTGAACTATGCACACTAGAAAAACAGGGGCTTTTAAAGTATTCTCTGGTTTCAGTGTTCAACATTCGTTAAGGTTGTTTTCACCCGGTAGCTAAAGCACCACTGAAAAGCATAATGGAAATGCCCAGTGAATAATTTTGTCCTTTGTCATGTACAAGACCTTTTCTGGTTTGCCACAAGAGAACATGCAAAGTTTCTGTGAAAGCAAAGGGTCAGGATGGAGGCTGCGGTCATCAGGCTTTTCAGTTGTATGGAGTTTACAGAGTTTACAGACTGCCTGACCCTTACCTTTGGAAATGGAACTCTCATGGTTCCTACAGAAGTCATTAGAACTTGTACCCAGTGGTGCCTAAAGACATCAGGATCCAGATTTTGTTAAATGCAGTATAAACTCGAAGTCTTTCCCCTAGGGAACGTTTTCTCTCTATCTTTCCTCACCCTCATTGCATATTCTGCCCCAAGGCAGAATGGAAGCAGTTAGTGGTAGCTGTAACATGACTGCTGTCATGTGAACACATCTCACTGCAAACTGTGAGCATGCCAATACTGATTTCTCTTCACATTTACAATTTCGTGGCATTCAGCCACCCTCAGTAATGGTTAAGTCTGAATTGCAAAATAGTTTCTGGTCTCCCCTCCTGCAAATCATCTACCCAGCCAGTTTTAATTCCTTCTAATTGATAAAGAGAGGTGAAATTCCCATTCCTGAGTGCCATGTTTAATTTCCTTGTTAGCCTTGCTTCAAGCAGGGGGATTAAGCTAGATACTTCCAGAGTTCCCCTCTAACTTAAGTTATTCTTTGATCCTACATTTTATAGGAGATGCTGTATTGAGCAACCATGTTCAGGTGTTGTCAGTGGAGGAGCTGCAGGGGTGGTGTCTGTGAAAAGAGGCCAAGGACTCACCTGTGTCAGAGCCAGCTCCAACCAACTCCAAAATGGACCCACCACAGGACACAAATGGGACAATCAGCTATACTGATGGCATCTCTGGGAAAACAGTTTAGAAAGGACAAAAAATCTGCACAGCAGCTGAGACAAGTAAGAAAAATGTGACAGAAACAATACTGTAGACAGCAAGTTCAGTGAAGGAGGGGAGGAGGCGTTCCAGGCAGATTCCCTTGTAGCTCATGGAGAAGACTGTGCAGGTTGTCTCCCTGGAGCCCATGGAAGACCCCTCTGGAGCAGGTGGATAGAGCCTGAAGGAAGCTGCAGCCTGTGAAGAATCCACACCAGAGAACTTTGCAGCCTGTGGAGAGGAGCCCATTCGGGAGCAGTTTTCTGGCAGGATCTGTGGCCCGTGGGGGGCCTGTGTGGGAACAATCTGTTCCTTTAGGTCTGTATCCCATGAAAAGGACGCACACTGGAGCAGTTCTTGAAGAGCTACAGCCCATGGGAAGGACCCACCCTGGAGAAGTACACAAAGGATTCTTTCCTGTTTTAGGACTTTAACAGTGTGGAGTTAAAAGGACTCCACACTGCAGGAGGGGAAGAATGTGAGGAGGAAGGAGCAGCAGAGAGGAAGTGCTGTGGGCTGACCACAACCCCCATTCTGCATCCCCCTGCTTTGAACAGAGAGAGGCAGGGGTGTAGAAGAGTTCAGAAGAAAGAAGTGAGGTTGAGCCTAGGAAATAGGAGGGAGTGGGAGCAAGGTGTTTTCAGCTGTATCTTTTCTTCTCACTATCCTGCTTTATCTTTAATTGGCAATATATTAAAATAAGTTCCTGAAGTCTGTTTTGCCCATGATGGTAACTGATAAGGGATCTGTCTTTATCTTGACCTGTGAGCTTTTCCATCTCACTCCTGCCCCCATCCTGTTGAGGGGGGAGAGGGAGAGCAACTGGGTGGTGTTTGTCAGCCAGCCAAGGTCAAATCCACTGCTGCAAAGACTGAAACAATAAAACTTTCAGTTGTCAATTTAAATTCTTCCAATTGTCAGTTTAAGTTCTTTACTTGCATTGCTATTTTTTTGGGTAAATAAATACAAGCTTGATACATGTAACACAGATGATTTCTCAACAGGTTAAGAAAAACAAAAACCCAATAACAAGGCAGTAATAAAGGCTGGCAAACCAGAGTTACTGCAAACTTAAGGACTGCTTGGTTTCACATCCAAAGGTGAGTGGGAGTCATCGCTATCTGCCTTCCTCCACTGCAGCTGTTTTCTTTTTAGTTTTTAATCCTCTGCTCTCTCACTAGTGTCCACTTTTTTTCCAGAAGCAGGAAAAAAATTACTTCTGGTAGCACTGAAAGGAATAAGGAAAGTACAAGCCTGGAAAAAGGCTGCACACATTTACTGGTGAGTACCGTGCAGCATTTATCTTTCATGTGCTGCTTTGAATGTTTCAAACTGGATTCTTGCAGATCAAACTGAAACAAAGCTCCCAAACCTCAGCAGCTGCAGAACAGTTACAGGCCCAATGACAGCTAAGGAATTAGCAATGCCAAGTGAAGAATGTCACAGGAGATTTGCAATTAGATATTAGGAAGAAATTCTTTACTGTCAGGGTGGTGAGACACTGGTACAGGTTGCCCAGAGAAGCTGTGGACGCCCCATCCCTGGAAGTATTCAAGGTCACGTTGGATGGAGCTCTGAACAACCTGGTCTAGTGGACAGTGTCCCTGTTCATGGCAGGGGTTGGAATGAGATGATCTTTACAGTCCCTTTCAACCCAAACTCTTCTGTGATTCTGTGATAGTGATTTTCCTGGGAAAGAAAGGGGAAATGCTGTATGCTATTGATGCATTTATATGACAGATATGACAGATGTTTGTGGCACCCTCAAACCCTTCCTGGAGTTGCATGCTCTTCCTGGAAGGAGCCTGCCTTTGTAAGGGTGTGCAAATATCCTGGATGCAAATCATGGAGTTGTAAACAAAGGTCCACTTTTGACTGGTAGTGTGGGCCAATGTGATAAAGAAAACAGTTGTTACTCTGTAACCAGGTAATACTTATCTTCGAAGACTACCCACAAGTAACCAACTACACAAAAGCTGGTGACAGGTGAGGGTGTTCCACAGCATTTGAATTTCTGAGCCTCATTGCCAAGTAGTTTTTTATGTTAGCATATATTAGCAGGCCAAAGCAAGTGTTCTCTCCAGCCTGTCATGCTTCAGGCCTGTAGATACTGCTTACATTCAGCAGGATATAAAGATGATTGCTAAGTTTTGAAAGTGTATTTCCTGCTTGTAACAACTGTGGAGCAACTTAGACCAGCATTCAAACTGACATTAGGATGAGACCACTGAGAAGAGAAGGATCTTGGACTGGATTTCAGCTTGGATACTTGAGATGGTACCTAAAGATTGTTGTGATAAATCTCAGATTAGTTGTTCTAATAAGGGTACAGAGATGCAAGAATAAATAATACATACATACGGAAAAATTGTCACTTTCTCAAGAAACATTTGTATGTCTGCATCTTTGCAGCTAAAACTGATGAGGAAAAAAATCCACCCTAGAAGTCATCTGGCAGCCAGTGCTTAGTCTGCCAATGGAATGACTAAGAAGATGATTATGGAAAGTTTTTGCACCTTTTTGTTTTGACTGCTAACAATTACTAAGACTGGCAAATGACTCTATCTGAGAGGTTAGCTCAAAGTTTATAGTTCAGATGAACAAAAACTAACAAACTGTATTTTCCTTCCCTGACAGTCCACTCATGTTTAGTAGTACCAGCAGCATTTTCTGCATGATGCACAATAATGCTGTTATTTGGTTCCTATTGTTTAGAAATAAAATAATTATATCTTCACCTCTCTTCACCATGTCTCATGTCTGTAATATCACAAGGGAAAAATCAGTGTGCAGCTTTCTTCTCTGTCAGGCAGTGTTGGTTGCCATTTTGCCTTGACACTCACGACCTGAGCTGCCTTCTTCTTCATTTCCCATCTGTGCAGATAAAACAGATACAGTAGCTCCACAGGATTTATTTTATGCAGCTTATTTACCTTACTCCATCTGTTCAAAGCCAAGAAACACTGTGAACAGGGCAGGTAAAAGGCTGAACTAGATGTACAGAGGTAATTACCTCTGTTATATTTTATTCAGCTAGTGCTCTTCAAATTTAATAAACAAGGAGATCTTTCAGGCACAGATGAAGACTGTACTTTCTTCTTCTATTCTTTCTTTGGAGTGTAAGCACATCCTAAATGAAGGCAAGGAATTTCAAAAGTACCTACTGTTTTAGACTGTGTTTTTATATATTGAGTTTGAAGTAGCTTAATAGAAATTTTCAGAAAGGCTGCCTCTGTGACTGTGGTTTCAGCCAATATAAATTGGACATGTACAGCCATGTGGCTTCTTGGCAGCTGAGGACATCTCTGAGGAAATTTCAGGGGAAATGATTTACACTTTCTCTAAAAAACAGAAATCAGATAAAGTGCAGTTGAACTGTGGACTTCCCATCCCTTCTCTTCTGCTGCTGATAACAGAGGAGAAAAAGCCACAATTATTCATTCCTGCCAGTATGTGAAATCAAAGCCCTGTTTTCTCCGAACTCTACTTGGAAAGAACTGTTGCTATAACTGAGCTCTGGGGTTTCCCCCACCACAAAGTACTTCTTTTATCTTCCTTTTTATGTGCAGTGTCTTCCAGCTGAGAAAATCCCAAGTCCTTTTGCCTACAGCCACTTAACTCTTGGTAGGCCTAGTCTCAGATACCCCTGGAAAACTGCCTATTTAATTTTCACTGAGACTCAGCAATCCTGTTTCTGGTTTCACAGAGATTAAAAAAAAAATAATAACTTTATAAAATATGCGAGCATATGTGTCCACAGCCACAGAGTGATCTCCTGTCTGAAATTGCCCGAAACCAGAGCTCAGGACTTGTTAAATTAATTTAACATCCGCCTACACAGATCATCTAATCCACCACCTCCCTTCAAGGACAGGGAAATACTTCCCATGTCATAAACTTCCCTTTTGGTGTAGGGTGATCAGACACATAATTGCCTGGAAGAGGAAGAATGCTGTTCCTTTATTGGCTCCAGCTCTGAAGGTCATGAGGAGAAGACAGGAGTAATTTCAATTGGTAATGACAGAAAATATTCATTCAAATACATTTAGTGTGTCAAGTGGCACTTTAACAATCCTTTGAGGGCGAGATGGACACAGCTGCAGGCATCTGCTTCTGTCTAGGCAGGAATAGGGCACAGAGGGGTCACATTTGCTCAGGCCTGAATTATCTTGCACAAATCACATTAGAAAGATTTTTCTAAAGGTTTTTTGAAAGAGATAAGATTTGACAACCTCAAATTCAACCCTTTAAACTAGGACAGAGAAAATCTCATAAGTTTAAGAAATAGTAGTAGACAAATCTTTGCAGTAATTCAAAAGGATACAAAGTCTGGAGGGTCTGTTTTCTGGGAAATGTATTCAAGATGCAGTTACATGTCACAAATAACTGTAACTTCATACAAAGCCTTTTTCAGAGTGGTTCTCCCAGTTGTCTTCACTACAGCAGATGAAGAGTGTTCAGGGTCAGTGGGCCATGTCAGGAATTGCCTCTGAGGAGTTTTATGAGATTAAAAGTCTGGGTTCTTTGACAGTTATTTTCTGTTCCAAATAATAGTTTCAAACCCAAATTTTATGTGGGTTTAGCTATGATGCTTCCTTCATTACAGTTCGTCACTTGTGCTAAGATGGGCTTACTGCATTGACAGGAAAGTGCTGGCTCTAAGTCTTGCCATGTATTTTTGATCTTCCACGCCAACACATATAAGTAGTTCTGTCACCCTCAGTGAGATGTCTTTTATTTCTTGAAATCAACACATACTGTACTGAAGTCAGAGCAGCCACCAGTATTTTAGGCACTGAAAATGAAAATAAAACCCAATCTGATACAGCAGAGGCTGCAATTGCTAAAAAATCCCTTTGGCAATTTTCATCTTAATGATTTCCTTTGCTGATATCAAAAGGTTATGGCCTAGCAGCTTCCAATTTCTGCACTCATTGCCTGGCTAAAATCATGCTGCCTTTTTAAAGAAATTATTCTAAGACTTTTCCCTGGCCTGATTCATTTAA